TATATATATATATATATATATATATATATATATGTGTGTGTGTGTGTGTGTGTGTGTGTGTGTGTGTGTGTAAAATTAATGAAAAAATACGGGGTCAATACTATTAATTAGGGGTTAGAACTATTAAATTAAATGGTATGGTGATAGAAATAAATAAATCTAAATAAATTTAGAGCGATGAGATTCGGCGAAATTAAGCTTCTAAACATTCCTCACGAAAGCTGACTCACTCTGAGAGGTAGCTGCCGTTTGGCGAGATGGTGAACCTTGTACAGCATCGCGTCACCGCCGGTGTCGACGCTGCCGTTCTGACAGATCGCATAGAACTCGCCTCTGGTTGACAGCGAGGCGAATACCTCGCGTCCGTGAAGATCGATGCATTGCGCGTATTGATCCTTCTCAGGACAACCGCCGGAGATGCCGAAGGAAACCGAGCTACATCGTCTAGTGTCTTGGAAGACTGCTACGAGTCGCAGGATTTCACCGGCGCGAATTGTCGTCTTCGTGTAATGGGCTCGTAGATTTCCATTCTCTGAAAGATATAAACACACGATTAACGCACATATGCAAACTGCATGTTGTAATAATGTCGGCGCGGTTTATTAGATGCGAAGATCAAGCGTGATAATCAGGAATCCTTTTTCTGATTAGATTGCACCGGATCTTGTTAAAAACATCAAATCGGAAGAAACTAGCCTGGTGCATTGGTGTTCATAATCGATTCTAACAGCCAGTCCTAGAGGTATCCTTAACAGTACGGATAATATTAAAAAGTGCAGTATAAGGGCTATCGCACACAAATTGACATAACTGCATATGCATAGCATAAGACCGTATGTACCAATGAGCATCGAGTATTAAGTCGCCATATTGATGTTCAATGCTTAATATTCGATGCTCATTGGTCCATACGATCTTATGCTATGCATATGCAGTTATGTCAATTTGTGTGCGATAGCCCTAAGTCTTTCCCCGATTATGTTCGACACGAGGCTTACGCACAATATATTTTTAAACGCGTGATTTTATTTACTTACTTTTTCAACTTACATGCTATATATATCTTTCTATTTTCGCTGATTAAAATGGAAATGTATGAACATGATAAAAAACGATAGTTTCTGACGTTCCTCCGTGAAAGAGATGTAGTTTTTAATATTTTTGAGCGTGCATTTGTTTTCGTACAAAATAAGCAAGTAAAGGAAAAGGAGGAGGAGAAGAGGAGGGGAAGAGAAGAGTAAGATCACTTTCTACGTTGCCCATATCCCTATGCATTTGGGTCAAGAACGTTGTGCCGCTTGACATTTCGTGAGAGATCGTGATCGCAATTGCATCGCACTCTCCAGCCTCATCTGATATCTGAACTTACCCATTTTCGAATGCGTCAGAGTGTAGGCGCGCAAAGGAGTCGCCAGCAGAAATGCAGGCACTCCGGTTTTCACCAAAGAGTCCACCCTGCGGTAGACGCGCGCGCTGCCCGTCGTATTGTTGCCAGATATCACAGAAAACCATCCTGAAAGCAAGAAAGGAACGTGAAATTTGAAGATCTATTGTGTCGATAAAGCTCATTCATCCGATTTCCACTTCATTGGAGCAAATATGAACAAACAGAACAAAGACAAAAGAACAAAAGTTGATCGATTTTCTTTTCTCATTGAAGGATCTCTCTTCTAATATTAATTCTAAAATTTTCTAAAATTTCTTTTGTTCAATTATTCTTTATTCTTAATTTTATTTTTATTTAATATATCTCAAAAAGTTTTTTATGTACTAGATTTGTGCATAAGTTTCTGGGGTTTTCTAGGCAACTTTGTTTATGTATACATCTTTCTATTGTATTAAAGATTTTGTATGGAGGGTTTTAAAAGAATACATCTTTTTATTCCGTAATATCAAAATTAACAATTTTCCGTACATATTTCGTTACGATGTTATTCTTACCTCTTGTATTTCTTTGTTGATAACGTCATTTTTTGTTTATATTTGTTATAACAAATTGTTTTAACTATAAAACACAGAAATAAGAACTAGATATATAACGACAGTACATAACGCGCGACTTCTCAAGCGAACAGACGTTTCGAGACTGAGCTGTACAGCGTCAAAACAGGTTTATACGATCGAGAGAGGGAGAAGGAGAGCCTAACGGCTGCGCAAACTATTGTTAGATGAAGTGCATAACCAGTTCTGAGGGTCAGAAAATGTTTGAGAATTTTTTTATATCTACAACGTAAGAAATTCTATAGTGGGTACCGAGATACCTCGAGTATTAAATTCCAACTTTTGGGTACTAAATTGAGGGTTAAAGAAACATGCATGTTTAATCAAAGTATTTTCCCTCGCTTACTACAACTTCAGTTTATTTTTCAGGCAACAAATGAATTCTTCAATTAAAGAATGACAGATCTTTCAATGTGATAAATTCATCAACTCATTTTCGTACTTTAATAGTACTCATTTTTAAAAGTACTCATTTTCTTACTCTCATTTCTAAATCATATATTGGAAAGATGGTTCTGTATTAACTAGAGATGTGCGAACTATTTGAATTCGAATCGAAAAGATTCGAATACGGATTGCGCACATTAGCATTAACAAAGAACTATTAAAGATATCCAACGGGAATTAGCATGACTTAAAAAGTTTGTTATACATTAAGATTTTCTTTAAAAATATTAAAAGAAGATAATGGCTTCTAGATAAACTTTTACCGACAACTGTCGGATCAATATGTGTCGTTACGCAGCTTTCAGGGCTGGAACTATATTCCATACACGTTTACCGATTATATATTATATATCTTTTACCTTAAAATGAATTGATATCACATGATCAATGTTATCTCTCTGTTAGTTACTGAAGTCATTATTTTCATGTTCAATTTAATGATTATGTTAATTAAAAATTCTTAACGATTCGATTCGGATGAAATTTCATCGATTTGATTTGATTCGAAATTAAAATCTGAGATTTGATTCGATTTGACATTAAAATCTTTGATCCGTACATCTTTAGCATTGATAGAAGTAAAAATCGTAAAAAACAAGGTTTGAACTATACGCCAGGTGCGGTAGAACTTCCCACTCAAGCTAAGTAAGATATTCTTAGTCGTGGAAGCAATATGTGTCGTGAAGCAAGATGGTTTTTCGATTTCCTTTTCCTATTTTTTCTGAATTTTTTTGTTCAACCGGTAGAACTGATGACTGTAGCACTTTGCAATAATCATTTCATCAGATTTGAACAACTCAGTAGAGCATGTCTTTCTGGTCTCACTAAATACAAATGAGGATCTTATGTCCGTGAATATTGTGCTTTGACACCAAACTTTCTGAAGATATTTTTGAAAGTTATATCTATCAAAAACAAAAGATTGAATTTTTGAAATTCAAAGCCCTGTTTTTTTACTCTGTTCTTCCCTATTCTGCGATATTTCCCGCGATAAAAATAATGCAGCATACAGTATTGAATATGCATGTTTCGATTTCTATTTTCATTTAAATTAAAAATGTATTTATGTAAACGAACTATCATATGTAGGCTCGAATGCACGTTAATTAACAGTATTAACATAAAACGTAAACTAGTTAAAAAGATTATGTACCTAGAATTTCAGCATCATCTAAACATGGATCCAAGAACTTACGTACAGATCTAATATTAGATATGCTAATCTTGAGTATGCTTTTCGAGGGCAAGGCTCTAGAGTGACTGCAATTATCTATCTATATCTATCTTCACAGTGTTGATTAACTAATGATCGCGATTAATGGCTATAGATAAATTCTTTAGAAGAGACATATTTCGTCCTAATATCTCGTCTAAAACGGTACTTTTACTTATCTAACGGTATTTTTAGGGACCGATCGTTTTCGAAAGATACAAAGACTAAAAATTACATGAAAATTTACGCGTCCTCTTATAGTTTTTCTTTCTTTTTTTTTTATTCGTGCAAATAACAGTAAACTGATGGTTGCACCGATAGATAGCTCGTGTCAGACGTAGAGAAGGATTCACAGTTCGTCTCTTCTCCGACGAAAAGATTCAAGGCTGAAGTTTTGTTAATCGCCGCGAGAACGATTAGGACCGGTTAGCGTCTGTCGAAGTCGGCGGCCCAGACGGACGAGTTAAAAAGCCAGTATCTATGTAGAAGGAAGGAAATGCGCTTCTGCGGTTCCCATCAGCTCGTAAAAAGCCCGTCAAATTGCGAACGGGCGATCCGAAGACGCGCGCGGAAGCCGCGGCGGAAAGACACAGTAGCCGAGTGGTCTGGCCGTTCGATCGAAGGTCGGCTGCTTCTTTTGCTCGTCGCTAATTGATTTAAGAATGCCGCCCGGTTGCGAGCGCACGACGTGCCACAAATTCGGCCCTTAAGAACCGCAACGCGCATCGCGAGCCCTGAAAAATACCATCGTTCGTCTCGACAGACCCAAGAAGGACACCTTTCGACGAAACTGTAATCTCGGCCTCCTGAACGCTTCTCAGCGGTCATTTCTCGCAAGATTTTCCGAAAGGAAAAAAATATGTCGCTCCATAATGAATTAAATTCAACGCGTTGAGCATATTTCGGTAACACGCGAGTTTTCGCCGCAATTACGGAATCCTATCACCCATTTGATGTAGGTGACTTGCTTGCTTAATTAGGAATGATTTTATAGTGTTTCCATAAAAACGTGTTAGTATCGCTCGGGAAAGTGTCTAAAACGTGTTCCCGACACTTCAACTTATCCATGGCATATTTTTTAAGTATTTAAAGTATTGGAAACACGTGTATTTAGAACAATATCAAATAGAAAACTTTAATTAACGCACCGGAAATTTACCAATCAATGTGTTAATACATTATTACTATAATATACCTAAGACGTGGCTTGTGAGTTTAATGCAGATAGTGCACAATATATATTCCAAATAAAAATTAAAAAATAAAATAAGTAATTAAAATATTGTTTTTAGCTTTTAGCTTTGGAGTAGTTTATTTGTAATTTGCATTATTATTATTATTCGATTACAAACGATTGTATGAGATTTTATGCTACAGTAAAATATTGCTTCACAGGGAAAATATTTCAGCCTCTCCCGTCTCTGTTATCTTTCGCATTATATTTCTACCTTCGATCAGCCAAAGCAGCAGAGCATTCATAAAAGGGTTATTCACAAGTCGCCCGGCGAACAAGCAGAGTTCGTGCGACGAGCAAAGAGGTGGCACGCGGAAAAGAGGGAGGGCGATTTCCCTTGGGAAAGTTTTTCCGTTTCCAGTTTGCGCGCATTAATTCCGTTCGAAGTTAACTGATGGAATAATTAAGCGGTAGACGCGACGATGGAATTCCCGCTTCTTTTTTCCCTTTTTTTTTTATTCTAGATCAACGACCTGGAAACCCGCGGCAATTAGACGGACGATATTGGCTCTCTCGGTGCGGTCTTGAGAACGCCCCGAGAGAGGAGGAAGCTAATGGAGTTTCCTCAGTCCCTCGATACTACAACGGTAAGGAGCGACGGGAGGTGGCTGAGGGGAGCGTGTACTCCGGAAAAGAAACGTTGCAGAGGCGCGTTGCGGTGCGGTTGCAGTTGCAGTTGCACAAGAGGCGAATGCGAGCGCGCGGTGACGGCCTCACTTTCCATTTCCACGCGCGCATCCGACGCAGGTACGCGACCGCGCGCGCGCTCAGGTCGTAATTATAGAGATCGCCGTATCCGCTGGAAGGAAAATGAAAAGAGAGGAGATCTGACGGAAAAGTTGAGACATTCGCGGGACGTATGCGCCAACGGTTTCCTGACGCGCGCTTTCCGTCCCTCGCATTGTCTCGCGTAATAAAGTGCGCGCTTTTCCTCGGACTCTGCGTTCGGGCAGAATTTGCCACTATTTTCCGAAGCAACGACGGTGCGACGACACGTTTCTTCTGAGAACGTCGCATCCCGAGTCCAAATTTTGATTCTACTTGCGATCTCAATTTTCTACTTCGATACTCTGAAGCCTGTACCAATCTCTTTTGATTCTATTTAACCCATTAACGCCCAAATGTGCTGAAATTTTACATTAATTTGAGCCATTTATTTTACTACGGAAATGAGGTCTGTTGTTTATAAAGAGTACTATTCCTACCAATTTCGATGTTACTCTATCGAATAGCGTTGAGAAAATTAAAAAATATCGCATTTTATGCAAAATTTTTGCAAAATAAAATAAAAAAGCGCATGTTATTTATTCTTCTTCTAAAGGGAAGGAAAAAAGGGCTAATTTTTTCTTTTTCCTCTACTTTCTCCATAAAAACGTGTTAGTATTGCTCGGGAAAGTATCTAAAACGTGTTCCCGACACTTCAACTTATCCATGGTATATTTTTTAAGTTAAAGTATTGGAAACACGTTTTAGACACTTTCCCGAGCGATACTAACACGTTTTTATTGAGAAAATAGAGGAAGAAGAAAAAATTAGCCCTAAAAACATGCGCTTTTTTATTTTATTACATACCTTTTTTAGAGTGGATTTTGCAAAAATTTTGCATAAATTGCGATTT